GATATCAATATCTAACTCTGTATGCCTCAAAATCAAAACGGACGAGCGCTTAATCCCACCATGTCGTGACACCTATTATTTTTAGTACATATATTATTATGTGCATATATGTGTGTGTATGCATGTTTTTCATGAATATTATGCAATGCATATATAGAGCAATGATTGTTTTACGGATTTGTGCGATATAAATGTCATATTATTTTTATCATTTTATAAGTGAACAATGTAATATTACGGGGGGGGGGGGGGGGGGGGGGGGGGGAAAGGCAAAATTAAGAAAATGTAAGAAAGGGGGGGGGGGGTCCAAAAAGTCCCAAAAAAGGTGTAAGATTATATTTGAACAGCCCCTAATGTTGTAATTTAAAAATAAAATGAGCTTACAAACTAAGCACTACACACACACGAGACCTAAATTCTATTACATGTACTATTAGCAATTTGACACCTGAAATTTTACAACACTTGGGCACATTTTTTTATGCCTCCTTGTCGCAAGCGCATTGCTTCCCTGACGCCCCACTCTAGCGGGTCTCATTCTCCTTTTGTAAATATTTATATAAAATCTGTCGTCTTCAAAAAGATGCGTCATATGAACGCTTACTTGTCGCTTCGACGACACATCAGCGCCCACTCTGTACACCTACCTGTGCCTCTGTATCCAATGTTTTCAATTTGATTTGTTGATTCTTTTATTATGATTGAAAGTGCAGTCTTAATCACAGCATTGTGACCTCTCCATTCCCGCTTCAGAGAAGTGAGAGGCATGGTAGGCATAGATTTCTAGTCTAGACTAGGCTGGCCTATCACGCATTGCGCTCTGCTTGTCTGTGCGTGCCACACCCTCCCTACTCAGTCGCTCCGGCCTTCCTTGTTGGCACTCGTGGGCTCTCCCATTCTTTGTTTCGCTAGATCACCAACAAGTTTCTCAACTGGCGAGGTTTTACATTATACACATGTATGCATAATTGGCCTATAATGCGTTGTGCACAGCAGCAGCAATATTCCGCTATAACCGATTTGCATGTTTGTCTGATTGCGCTAATAGCAGTATTTTATTTACAAAGATAAAGAAGGCGAAAAAACGGGGTTTGAGAACAATGTCTTTATAAAAGACTTCTCATTATTTCAGGACTCGTTATAAGTGGACTCCACTGTAAAACTATTAGTAATATTTTTGGTTGCTTCTCTATTACTATTTTTTCTGGTCCCGACGATGTTGTTATATATTTTAAAGAGATTGCACTGTATCTGTTTATAAAAGAAGGTAGGCCTACTACTATCTGAATTGTGAACTTTTTAAAAATTTACAAACACCCTAAAACAACAACATTTGCTGCAGGATAACTGTCTTCAATGTTAAGTGAGGGTAATAATGGTGAGGGATTTGAACGGATAGAACTATCATTCCTGGGCAACCGAGAGGAATATTTGTGAGGCCTGCCGACAAAATGAGTTACTTCTCTCAATCCTCAAGTAGAGATATTTGCCAAAAATCAACACTACGGTAAAATTTGTAGATTTTCTATTGATGATAATTTGATGTCATATATTTAAGTATAACATGCCTTTTGGTATTTCATACTAAAATAAATTATAAAAACTTCACCTATAAATATATAAGTATATAAGCGTGATGCATATAATCTATTTCCATCTACCTAGAATCCGAGAAGTAACTCATTTAGTCAGCACGCTTCATATTTTATTTGAAAGTTGCTGTGGGTGGTTGGCAGGAGCTTTGATGTGGTTTGCCCCTTCTTTCCATATATATGTACAGTCAACTACAGATGAGTTGATGTCATCCGGGGAGGGGATAAAAATTCAACTCATCCAAAGTTCAACTTAACCATTGGGACCAGTAAAAAAAAGAAGAAAAAGATAAACTTAACCAAAGATAAACTCGAGCGGTTCAGCACAAGTGGAGTCAACTACTCTACAGCTGTACTATGATATATGTCATGAACATAAAATACAAATTTGTGATAGTAAGACAGTTGAGTAAACATGAAGTAAAGCTAAATTGTTTTTTGGCTAGGGCTAGAGAGAGAGAGAGTGAGGCCAGGTGTGTGTGTGGGTGGGGAAGGGGGGGGGGGGAGAAGAGAGAGAGTGAGTGTGTATACACAAAAGAGAACCAAATTTCAGTGTAAAATTTAAAATATAATATCTGCACAGGTATGGCAAGATTAAGATCCTTCAAGCTGCATTTAAGAAGATCATACATGTAATCATATTATGATCATCACAGGAAGTACACATGAGAGAACAAAATCAAGGTAAATCATGAAATTAGAAGACCTGTTTTATTTTACTAGACTCTGTGAAACATATTTTTCATCATATGAAACATCTTTATAAGCCACAAGCACGAAACAGGACAATCAAAAATAAAAAAGAAAGAAAGAACTCAATTTTTAACAAATTAATAATTTGGTGGGGGGGGGGGGGGGGGGGGGGGGGCAAACAAAAAATTGAAGGAAGAATTTAGAAATAATTCATTTTAAAAAAAATAAGAATATATAGGAGATGAACAGTCTAAGTTTATCATGTCAAATAGGAAAGTCAGCGGTAAGAGGCAATCCAACCTGTCGATATAGGCAGGCCTAGTGCCCTGTGTTGGTGGGAAAGCAGAAATCTTCAGAACACAGGGACACAACTGTCCATCACATGTGATCTATTTCTGGATGCAAATTAATGCAATGTTCCAAGTTTAGCTTAGCAGGAGTCTAAAAACTAAAAATTAGGACAGAAGGTCAATCTCTTTTATAATATAAATTATAATAGCCATCTCTAAATTTAAATCTGGACAGCCCACAGAGCAGTCCTGCTTTTCTTCCAACTTGGCATCCAAGCGGTCCTTTACTTTATAATATACTTACTTTAATGCAATTTGTGCACCGTGCACACAAGATCCCTTATTTTTCTTTATGTTTTCCACTTTTGTCGAAGAAAAGACGAGGGCTCTTGTGGCCTAGAAGTTAAGGTGCTCGCCTCTCATTCAAATTCAAAGGTCCTGGGTTCGAATCCGGGAAGCGACTGAAAAATTTTCTTCTCTAAAAATTGTCTTCTTTCAACTCCTTACCTGCTCTCTAGCAATGTTCTATCGTCTGCTTTCGTCTCCACTTTTTGCCACCACCACCTCACCCCCTTTGACCCTCCTCTGGGCTCCTGACTCTTTCTGCAGCCTTTCTACTGCTACTCCTTGGCTCCTTCTTACTGCTGTCTTTCAGTCACACCCCTGATCTTCTGGTAGGAAAGATCTACACCTAGCCTTCTCGGACAAGGGCGAAAAATGTCGGAGGTCCTGCGTGCAAGTTGCGCACGTTAAAAATCCCTTGGTGGTCTAAAATCGAAGAGTACGCTTCGGCTGCCATCCAGGCAAAATTCCAAATTTCCTACCAACTAAAAATGTTTAATGAATGTGTCCCGCTCGCTCATACGGCCTTACGCAGCTACTTTGCAAGCGCCATAAAACACTTACCAAAAAAAAAAAAAAGAAAAAGAAAAGACAGTTCACAAAATTTGATATGAGATATAAAATTCCAAAGAGACCACAAATCAAACTTACACAAACTACGAGATCTACGGAGCCTCCAAAAAAACAACAACCCCAGATTGGAAAGCCAACTGGGAAACGAGCATTGTTGTACGGTACCTCAAAGTCTCTTTTTTAAAATCAAAAGTAAAAGAACTGTAAATTTCTACACACCCCCCATTGACCCTACTTGATTTCAATTCTATCATAGCAGGAGAGCTTATTTGGTCTTGGACCCTTCCTGTACTGTCAGTGCAACCCTGGGCTAAGAAGTAAAAGATGTGGGATACTACATCCTGGCAGAAAGAAGACATGAAATACAGTGGAGTCCACTTTACTTTAAGTTAATTAAGTAACTTTAACAAAAATTTGCAGGACCGCCAGATTTTCTTCGGTGTGTGTTTTCATCATAGAGAGACTCTTCAAACTCAGAAAGTGAAGAAAAAAATAAGGGTTTCTATTTGCTTTCGCAGACCTGCCACTCTATGAAACCTCAAAATCAGGATCTCAGGGAGAAAAAATCGGGATTTGGTGAAAAAAATCGGGATCAACAGCAAATCACAAAGGTGACTGCCAAAGCTGACTTAAAATTTGTCCAGGGGTGTCCATAAATTACTTGGCCTATGCCCTCTGGGTGTCTTTGTTTGTCAGCGTGCGTGCGTGTGCGCGTGTGTGTGTGTGTGTGCGTGTGCGTGTGCGTGTGCGCGCGTGCGAGTTAACGGTATCATTATTTTTTGTAAATCCTGAAGAATCACGTCAAGCACTCCTAGTCCAAGTGTCTATGTCTATACACCCCCCCCCCCCCCCCCCCCAATAATAAGTCCCGAAATACATGAACTTAAGTTGACCCCGTCAACGGACGGTCCCCGACACGCAGAACTCACACGGCGATGTCATGTCACGTGACGCGAGTGCGCGATTGAAACAATTTTATTAACGGGTCCGACTAACTGCGCGTTCACACAAAACTCTCAGATGAGTGACAGTCGTTCTACTTCTAGTACTAGTACTCTAGGATAACAACGGCGGCCGACCGACCAATTGTACCAACAAATCTCTTATCCCTCATAATGCGTTCAGACTAAAGCAAAGACAACGGCCGTATGTTAGTCTAGTCAGCGCAGTTACATAGTTGTGTAAGGGTTAGAAAGACTGTCGCTCGTCTGAGTGCTTGGTGTGAACGCGCAGTTACCAGACCTCGGACAAGGCTTGTTTTGAAAGTAGCAGCGGAAGTACGAATATTTTATCGATTATTTTTAAGTCCTAAATTGTAACAGTTACCAGGCTATCGTCGGAGAATTCTGAGTGCGGGCAAGCAAAGATCACACACCACTTGGGGCGAGTCAACTAGGGCCTACTAAATGCGGCATCGATATTTCGGGAAATTGTGCTCGAGTTCCTACTGACAAAAAGTTCATCGGACGCTTCCCGCGATAAAGGAGAAGGCAGAGTACGTTTTTACTATTGAAAAATCCGGCACAACAGCGGACTGGGACAAAAAATCGGGATACACGCGATCGAAATCGGGAAAATCAGGATGCTTGAGATTTGGGGCAAAAAATCGGGATATCCTGACTAAATCGGGATGAGTGGCAGGTCTGCTTTCGGTATACAGCGGCCTTTCAGATCAACGACATGCTTCAGTTTTTATGTGTGGACTCCACTTTACTTTACTCAATAAAATGAACTTTCAGCTAGCAGGAAATAAACTGACACCATGCATGCAATGGCAAAAAGCTTCAGCTTCTCTCATATTATCTTTTAAACTTTTCAACGTGCATTAATTTTAAGAGTAAGACTAAATTCTACCGTATGTGTTGGTACTCTGATGTTTTCATTTGGAAGTCCTTCTTCACTCAAGAGGTAACTCTGTAATGAGAAAACAAAATGAAACGCAAATAATATACACACACAATACACAACATACTCAAACTTTGTAAAGAAGGAATCAATTGATATAAAAATTGCAGTGGTCCACATCAATCACATTCACAGAGAGCTTGGAGGGCAAGTAGGATAAAAGTCTACTTCAGCCCCAGTGCCTCTTACCCTTATGTTGAGATTAGTATATATATATATATATATATATATATATATATATATATATATATATATATATATATATATATATATATATATATATAAATTTAACACATCCTAAGCGCGCGACAATATGGCCACTCGTACTGCTCCTAAAGAAAATTAATTTCAAGCTCCCATCGACATAATTTCGGTCATTTTGAAAGCAGCTTCTGACCTTGCCTGTCAACCAACTCAGGCTGAGAGGAACACATCCCTGCAGAAAGACCGAGAGATACCCAATGAAATATTTTCCCTGGTCAGATATATCGGACTCGGGTCTCCTATGATGTGATGGCGAGGTGCCAAACCGCTCCACCATAGATGCCGAAGAAAAAGTCTTCTATCTAAATGATTCAAATTCAAGCACCTGGTCGTCAGCATCATCCCGTCTGGTCATTTGCTCTCGTGCCATACAAATCAATCATCTTTTCCACCGTAAAAGGAAAAAATCTACCCACCAACATACAACAAAACTCTAAACGCCACCATCTTACTATGATGCTGTAACAATACGATGTCATAATGTAATGTAAAGTCAACAGCATGCGGCGCCCTGAGTGCTTAACTCAAAATCGAATAGTAAACCACAGCAATGAACAGAGACCAGCAGCAGATCTGACCCCCAGTACCTGCATTTATAACACTTTTATAATTTTTATATTATAATCACTTATTCTCATCACAATTTGAAGTCCCATCATTTCAAGCGGAGACAATGTGACTATTACTATTATATATAGAGTGCCAGACGAAGGTCGTGTTAAGTCATTTACTGGATTTGATCAATTGCCAAAGCGCACCCAGCTTTTTCTCTCTCTACCCCGCACACATGGTAGTATGACACAACATGCTAGATGTGTAGGCCTACAAAATCAACATGAAGGAAGCTGTTCAGCTTAATTTGCCTTTTTCTTGTCTTGTCCATTTGTTTTGGGATTTCGCCGATGGTTGGTGCACTTTTATTGTTCATAGATCCAAACATTTTGTCTGAAAGTCAGCTGTAAAAGTAAGGTACCTTTTCTTTACTATTCACTATACTGCTATCTAACAATAGCAACACCACAGCTTTTTTAACCCTTCCAGCCCTGTGGGCGTATATTTTCAGCAGCGCGTGTACCTCCCCCCGTCCCAAGAGCATATTCTCAGTTTCAGAGGGTACGTACACCGAATTTTGCACATTTTTCGAAATTAGCCATGAAACTAACTTTCTTGAATTTGTTCATTTACCTTTAAAAAATATTGTTATGTTATCATCTTAACCTCATTACAAAGATACTGCTTCATTTTTTAGAATGCATGTCTCTTTTTCTGAAATACTGCTCTGTATTGGCTGGGACTGGGGTTAGGCCAACCTAGGAAGTGCACAAGAATAGCTGGGTCAGGAAGGGTTAAAGATGAATACTACTAACCTTTAAACAACACAGGTAGGTACAAAGATCAATTATAGGCCTAATCCAGACATAAAATGCTTCTTACTTTTTCAAAATCGGTATAAATCATAAATTAGATTAAAAAGTTATGGCTGTGTACATGTCGGAAATTGTGGATATTGTTTAGAAAATTCCTATGGAGGGAATGCAGCACCGGAATATTGAATAGCCTAGATAACATCAGAACTTTCTCATCGTACTTTTTAAAGAATTGAATGAGCTGAACATTAGTAATTTTATGTTTTTGGGGGCAACAAAACAGAAAATGGAAGAATTAAGTTTGTAATCTTAACACCCTGTTAATTATATATTATATGCAAATAATATTATATATATATATAATATAATTAAATGCATAATTTATAGAGAAAAATAAGCCGAATACAAATATTTTTATAATAGCTTAATACATGTACAGTGGAATCCTGTTATAACGATAGGGAGGGGACCGGAGCAAAATGTCCGTTATAGCAGGACTTTCGTTATGAGGGATCCAGTAATAAATTCAAGGGAAACTGTAAAGTAGGCCCAATCTATGAGTTTGGAGTTCTGTTTATTTCCTTTTGGTATCTCCCCTGATGATGATTTTGTTTCAACATGACCTCTAGGTCTTACTTGATCAAAAATTGAATCAGGTTTCTTTCTCTAGCGCTAGATCTAGCCATATGGACTGACAGCTCGGCGTTGGCGATCAGAAAGAAAGGGCTCTGGGCTAACTCACCCGCTGCGCTTTCCCCAACCCCACCACACCTTGTGGTGCAATCTGTTTGACTGCGCACGTCACACATTCGCTCCATCCATCACATTGCTGTGACCTCTCCATCCCCGCATCGGAGAAGAGAGAGGCATGGTTGGCCTTGATAATCTAAACTAGGCTTACACTGGCCTATCACGCGATGCGTTTTGCTTGTCTGCGCATGCCACACCCTCGCCACTCATTCGCTCCGGCCTTCATTGTTGACACACGTGGGCTCTCCCATTCTTTGTTTCGCAAGATCACCAACAAGTTTCTCAACTGGCGAGGTTTTGCATAATTTGTATAATTGGCCTATGCGCTGTGCACAGCAGCAGCAATATTCCGCTATAACTGACTCGCATTTGTCTGATAGCACTATAGCAGTATTTTATTTACAAAGGTAAAGAAGGGAAAAAATGGGGTTTTAGAATAGTGTCTTTATAACAGACTTCTCGTTTTTTCCGAACTCGTTATAAGTGGACTCCACTGTAATAAACAGTCATATAAAATATATATCCTCTGTATGGATGTATAAAAATTTTATCTGCGTTTGCAAAGAGACAAATTGGAAAATGTGACAAAGGCTTTAAATGTTTGATTGATTATGCACTTATTTGATATAATAAATTATACAGCTCAAAAAGTGGGAGTGGGAAACTAACAGCTGTAGTCAAATATACTTCGCCTACCTTGGAAAGAGCATGAGAAGTTGGCGGTACAGCGGGGCTGGTGGTACAACCAGGTTTTCATGTCCTCTGTTGACATTTAGTCATGTAGCACCGACTGCCCAACATCAAAGGGACTTGTTTACCAATCATTAACTGAAGAAATGAGTTATCTCCCTTCGATCTGTCATGACTTGAGTGTGAGTCCTCACTAAATAAAAGCCGATCAGGCATTCGCCAGGCTGTAAGTCTGTAAGTTATTGGGCTGACTGATATCTGGCGACGCCAGATATTTTTTTCCTGTGGGGGAGGGGGGTGTTCCTTTATTGACACTTTTCCTACCGTGAGCTGCAATTGCTCACGGACGTGGCCTCACTGGACCGCTCAAGTGGCTCGCTAACGCTATCTATTCCAATCAAGTGATGAAAAGATTTGAAATTCTCGGCCAATCCATGTTTTAGAAGTAATAGAATCCTGTTAGCGGATATGAAAGAAAATATAGCACTGACAGGCGAATTTTAGTCATTTCAGTGCTTTTTTCTTTCCCCTTGGAAACGTAAAAATGAAAAGAAAAGTGCTCCCCTGTCTTCATCAGTATGTTTAATATTTTCACTTCTTTAGTAGGTACACATTGTCATACATAACTTTCAGCATTTTTTTACATTACTTAGGCAACCTGTGAAGTTTGAATGATGCAGATGTTGCACTTTTTTAGTTATATGACCTTTCAAAGCTGAAAAATTGTGGATTTCATCTATGAGTATGACACATTCGGTATTGCATAATCACTTTTAGGAACCCTAAACTAATATATTGGAATAAATCTCCAATATTGTTATTATTGTACTACCATCTGATAGATTATTTTTGAAACTTCAGTTTGATAGGCCATATGATACAGTTTGTGTGTGTTTAGTCAGATGTTTTGACATTTTCCTTTGGTGGGGTAGGGGCATAAAAATAGGTCAGGGAAAAGCCCTGGGCCAGTGGTGGATTTTGGCCTGGTAGGAAAAGAGTTAAAGATTTTTCAGGTGACACTGCATCACTGTAGATCTGATCATGATTGCCTGAGAAGGATGGGGAGGTAGGACGGACGGGGAGGAAGCAAATCGGAGAAATTAAACGTTTGATCTAGCCCTAGGTTTTGCTCGTATTACAGTGGAACTCGGATTCAACGAGGTCGCTGGGCCTGACCTAAAACCTCGTTGAATCCAAGCGTTACATTATTATAGCAAACATGAGATTTTGTGTAGATTATTAATGGCACTGAGCACATAATGTGTAAAGAGAAGTAACAACTAATGCCTGAAATGCCTGCATATTATGAGCTGTGTAAAAAAACAAAAACCACCAATTCGTTCAAATGCACGCCTGTGTCATCTCGATTGCTCGCCAAATAGTTGTGTTGCTATGTGTAGAGCCTAGCACACGCCAACTTTTGATTCCATAGACCAACGCTCAATTCATTATGTAGATCTACGTCAATACTAGCTTACTTATATATAAATAATAAATGATCAGTTGCTGAGGGAAAAAAAAAAGACTGACGCGTTTGTATCTGCAACGTTCAACGCCCGGACCGCTGGTGCCCCCCCCCCTCCCCGACACAGTCACATGTGTGTAGGCCGCCCATCCGACCCCGACACACGCCAAAGTATACAAGTGCGTGTGCCAACAACGCATGTGTTGGTATGAAAAAAGACCGCTGATTGGTCGCATTCAATCGGCTAAATGAACAATAGTTCACGATGGAGGTGCTATGGATGGTTTCCGAGAATAGATAAAGTTCGTTCTGGGAGAAAAATAAGCGAAGCCATGTCTGCAGGGGCTGTTCACACTGGAAGCGACCTCGTAGTCGTAGAATCCGAGCTTGCTAGCTCGTTGAATCCGGGTTATTTTAATTGATTTTAAAGAAGAAAAAAAAACGGGGAATCTATCTCCTCTCGTTGAATCCGAGTTGTTAAATCCGAGTTCTACTGTTATAGAGTAGAGGTCGTACATGTGTGAAAGTGAAATAGCTTAAGAAAGGCTAATTATCAAGCAACCACTAAGTGGAGCTGCCGAGTGCAGTGCGTAGCCTAGTTAGTGTATTGTGTCGTTTTGGCAGTCAGTTCACTGGCGGTACGATATAAATTTACAGTGGACATTACAACTGAGACAGTTGGTGGATAGTGGATAGGGGTGTAAAGGCGCAAATAGGCGATTAAGTTTATATTGGGGATTCTTTTCGTACCAGGGCTCCCCATTACGCACAGATGTGTGCGTATAATATTAAACCTGCAGATTACCCCCTTTTAAGTTTTGATGTTGCCTGAGCGTTACTATTTAAAATTTCGTTTCGGGGGTTTGCATACGCTTTAAAAGGTAGGTGGTGTGCGTCTGGCATGCATCATTTTCCACCTTCTCTATCCCGAAGCCGAGTCAATGATTTGACAAAACAAACATCTAATCAACATGGCTGTCACCTCTTGTCTGTGTCAGAAGCAGTCGACCTAGGCCTACTTCAGCTGCATGCAGTCTCCGGCGACACAGGCTTGTTTCAGCAGAGAAACTCCGCCCACATTCTGGTCGCTCACATTTGCCGGTGTTGTGCCTCAAGTTTACCCCTGCCGTGAGATTAGATCTACCCCCATCCTTCTTTAACTTTAACTCTTGTAAACATGACATGAATTGTCCGCCATTTAAAAAAAAATCGAAAGACTGGAATGTGAACTCTGGGATGGCTCTGAAAAATAATGAATCAGTTTATTTTCTTCGTGTATTAATTTACAGTCGGTATAGAGACCCCTTTTGGCTTGTTCAACTTTATTTTATTTTTGATTGGCCCGACCACCACCACCCATCCCCTCCTTTAAGTGGACACAACTCTAATTCTATTCAGAATTACTCATTTCTTTCTTGTTGTTACTTTGAAACGTAACAGAATTAAAAATCGTTAGCATTCAATCATAGTCATTAAGTCATGGTCACTCTGTGTGAATGTGCGTGCGAGTTAAAAGTTTATGTTGTATGCAAAAATTCTTTTGATATATAAAATTAGGAGACTTTTCAGGATTAGTTTGTCAGACATGATCAAAAAAACCAACTACCCTTTAAGTTTCTAAAATACCCAGTATGACAGAAAACAAAAGGGTCAAGGAACCTTTTAAGTTGTCCCGAAAAGGGGAGCCCTGTGCTATATATTATAAATGTTTATACTATTATTATAGGAACCCACCATCTGGACCCCTCCCAGTAAAATATCTGGGGTCGCCAGAAATAAAATTACATCAGCCCAAAATAAGTTAAAATAAAAACTACTTACAGGCTGGTGAATGGGGCTTTTAAATTTAGTGAGGACTCACGCTCAAGAAGTCTAAGAAGTGACAGATCGTTGGGCAGTTACTGAGCTGTATGACATGTATTTTTAACAGAGAGGACATTATAAGCTCGTTGCACCACCAGCCCCGCTTTACCAACTTTGACATGCTCATCCAAGTCCAAAGGTAGGCAGTACAGTCCGTGCCGGCTTTAAGCACGGTAACTTCGGCTTCAAGCATGCTTCATTTACAAGACAGTCAATATTTTCATGATGACCCATCGAAGTTCGAACACAGTCTACACCGCAGCAGTGGAGTGTGTCGAGAGAAACACAAAGAACGCAAGTGAAGGACACACACACTCCCACGGGCGGAGAGGAAGGCAGATGCACACAGCCGCGCGCGCGGACACAGGATCTAGCCTACGCCTAGGGCAAAGCTACACACGACCCAAAAAAAATACAAAGAGAGTCGGGGAGACGAGAAAGGGAGGCTTGCTGCGATTTCACCTTTGACTTTGACCCTCACTATCCATTAATCCTGATTGTGTATCACGCACGAGGTGGGATGAAGGCGGAGGTATGAGTGGCACAGCGGGCAGTGGTACGCACAGGCAGTGTGTAGGCCTAGTGTGCTGTATCGTGACTGGGCGTCTAAATTAAGTTTTCATTTCCCATTCAACCACAAAACAATAATAAACGAGCGAAAAAAAACTACCATGGCGGGTGTCTAAATAACAGTGCACACTTTTGCAGGACCGCTATATAGGCCTACTTACAAACAAAGGGAAATAGCACGAGAAATGTTCTACATGATAATCTCTGATGTCTACTTCGAACTCAAGCACGCTTCGGCTTTAAGCACGCTTAATCTTTCTCCCGACGACAGTGCTTAAAGCCGGCATGGACTGTATTATAATGAGGAGGCATGGGTGTACAGCCAGCACACTCTCTTATGACTGTACGATACATGAACACAAGGATAATTTTTTAAACTCGAAATCAAGGTGGATAGCTCATCATAATCATACAAATCGCGATTCCCAAATGATGTCTCTTTAACTTTAATTTTCCGTTATATTATATAAAATATCTGTTAAAACCCAAATTGTGGATGTGTGTGGAACACACATTTGTCGGAAAGACTTCCATGACGAGCAAGCACCCCAACAAAAACAAAAAAGAAGAGAAACTCTCACCCAAACTCTAATCCTATCCCAGCCCTCTATTCTACTCTGTCTCATAGAAGGCCAGTGGTTGCTCGTTACAAAAGTCCTCCCCATTTGTCAATCCTCGACGTTTTTGATGTTATCTGTGCCTGACTTAATGTTTTTATAAAAATGACTGTTTGGAAGTTCACAAGAACACAGCCTTACATAGCCTACACTTCAAGTAGATCTAGATCTGGAAAAAAATCTAGATATCTAGATCTAGAATCTAGATTTAGATGTAGGCCACTATGTCAACACAGACTCCTACTCCTTTTAAAATCTAATCCTAAAAAAATACACACTGTCACAATCCAGAGCCCACCACGTACCACTGGTGTGACGACATCTACCACCGAGCGATCAGATTCAGACTCCGAATCATATTGACGAAAATTTCAATGCCAGCTCAAGGCTGGAAATAGATCTATCTAGATCTAGATCTCTACAAGTTGACAAGGCTTGACGTCGATGTTGAATGTAGTATCCCCCATGACGACGGTCTTCTGTGGTTGCATGGCATCATCTGGAAACATTTAGGACGAACAAAAAGAGGACCTCGAGTCATTCATCCCCATTGCCCGTGGCGACCATTTACTGTGAGTCAACAACTTGAACTTTAAGTTTTACACGCCTTTTGAGTGTGGTAGGATAACACAGTCTGTGTGAAGGTTTTCGGCTCACAAACATTCCATTCCAAGAATCCAAGAGGACCAAACCGAACTGGACCAGCAAACGTATTTTACGATGACGCATGCGCGGATTTCATAAATATGGCTTCCCTTCCGTTTGTATACTTTGTATTGCAGACTAGATCTTACCCGCCATATTGGCTTATGAACCCAGTTTCCATTTGAAAAAAAAACTATTCGTGATAAATGAATGAACCTTTTGTCCTTACATCTTGGTTACGGATGTGATTTCGATTTTTGAAGGTAAGTATTTCGTCCACGAAATTGTCAGAAATATTGCCAACGTCTTTTTTGATAAAACTTGTTCTAAAAATCTTTTTAGGCTAAGGCAAGGTACTCGTCGGAACTGGAGACCGTGGTCACTATGGAGAATTATTTTAAAATCTTTGATCATGTTTATAACATTAACTGTCAGTACCCGAATATTATTTCTTATTGACTCTGCTTGGACCTGGAGAGGAGGTCCAGTTGGCCTAAATGACCTGGTGAGCTCAACCAAAAGGGGTGTGACGTCAGTAGGCTGTGTTCGGCTGGGATTTTTAAAACTCTTTCTCTTGATTTGTAGATCTAGATCTAGTAGAATTGTAGATCTAGTAAGAATCTACTTACTTTAAATAGCAAAAGGGAGTGTATTGACTTGTAAAACAAGAATAGTGGTAATCTGTATCATGACAAGGGCATGATTTAAATTTTCTTTTAAATTGTGGTCCCTTGTTGAGGAAGACTCTTCTTGGCTACTCTGGTGGTTGTGACACTTTTAATTTTTAAATGTAGACTTAAGAAGCAGAACATTTTTTTAAAAAGGGCAACAGAAATAACTGTTTTGCTTCACTAAACTTGAAACTAATAAGATGATTTCAGGACCTGAAAAAAATGTGTTTTTTAACAAAATGTACACTTGTATGATGCTGAATGCAGGCCTTCTGAACTTTCATCGTAATCACATGTGATCTGTCTCTATTTTTTTAATGAATTTATTTTTATTTTTGTCCAAATATAATAAAAGCAGCGAGCCTATAGCTCCCTTTGTATACACATATAGAGAGAAAGAGTTACAATAAAAGAATTGTGAATTGAATATATCTTAAAATGAAATAATATTATAATTCGTATCGAAAGTGTTGGCCATTCAATAGAAATTAAATTACCTTTCAAGTTTTGTTTTTTTAGGCCAAGGGCACCTGAGAGGCATTATAATGCCTTCTTTAGGGAGGGCTAGTTGTGAAACGTAACTGTCCCCCAGGTCTAGTGCTTGAATAGTGGGATCCTGGCACTATAATTACAGCAAGCCCCTGAGCTCTTGTTCTATGAATTTAGTTATAATATAAAAGTAAAACCCTTCAATAGGAGGGGGCTCTTATGGCCTAGAGGTTAAGATGTTGGCCTCTCATTCAAAGGTCCCGGGTTCGAATCTGGGTAGCGGCCGAAAAATTTTCTTCTAAAATTGTCTCCTTTCACCTCCTTTCACTCTCTTTCTCTATCAATGTTCTGTTGTCTGCTTTCATTTCCACTTTCTGCCCCCACCCCGTCACCTCCTTTGCCCCCTCCTCTGGGCTCCTGACTCTTTCTGCTACCTTGCTACTGTGCTACTCCTTGGCTCCTCCTTACTGCTCACTGTCTTTCTGCCACACCCCTGATCTTCTGGTAGGAAAGATCTACACCTAGCCTTCTCGGACGAGGGCAAAAAATCTCGGAGGGCCCGTGTGCCAGTTGCGCACGTTAAAGATCCATTGGTGGTCTAAAATCGATAAGAGTAGGCTTCGGCCGCCACCCGGGCAAAATTCCAAATTTCCTACCAACTGAAAATATTAAGTGTGTCCAGCGCGCTCACCTTATGCAGTTGCGAGCGCCGTAAAACACTTTACAAAAACAAAAAACAAAACTTCAATTGGAACCATAGCCATGTAAGAGAATGCTGAACCATTGAAACCAATTACAACCTGTAAATGTAAATGAATTGGCTCTACACTTTGGGAAAAGATCAGACAGCATCTATACACACTATCAATGCAACCACTTTCCATCTTATTTGACTTTTAAACTCTCTCGAGTCTGAGCTATTTTACACCCTCCAACCATCATGCAGCCTGACAGTTTTGGGGTATATTGAATCGTTAATAACAAAAGAAAATGTGAAAGCTATCGTTATTAATTTTTAAAATGCCACTAAAGAAATAAGGAAAAATTAAATGCTCTCCCAGAAGAAGAAAACTGCCTTAGAAAATTTATCAGAATATATATATAGGTTTTAATTTTATCACAATATAATAAAATGTCAATGTCTGGGGGTTACACAATTTTTTTTTCACCCAATTTAGAATTTATAATAAAATCATCTCAATTCAGGAGTGACTGGCTTCTAAAGTCCGTTACATACTAAAAGTATCGTTATCTTCTCTAAAAAATTTTACGAAGGGAAACAAGTGGGTCAACTCTTGGCTCACTGCTTCCTCTGCAGTCTGTAACATAAAAACACTGGTGATATCGATTGATGCAGCGCATCCCTTAAATATAGGGGATTAGGCCACCGAGCCCGTAGGGCGTCCTGCAGTGGGCTTCAAGTGAGTTAAAGGCCGGGTCACTTGGTATTATTTTCAGAATTTTTGTTTGCCTATCTTCAACACCATAATAACTTATTATTTTGTCTGGATCTGTCGTTTATAATTTTAAATCCAGTACTCAAATTTCCTGAACATAACTAGGACTATACTGTTCGGATAGGTCAAACACAGAAGACTCGAAATCACGCATTCGTTGAAATGTGCCTGTGGTCCCGCTTTTTTCTTTAATCTTTTGTAAGATCCCTCGAACTACGGATCCTTTTAAACCTACCAAGGCCAGTCCCGACGAATTCGACTGTCTATTAGTGGTTAAACTGTCTGTATTGATTTTGAATAAAAAGTATTTTTACCCTGTGGACTATTATCAACTCAACTCCAGGCAGTGGCATGATCTTTTACCCAGCCTGTCAAGAAGCAAACATTTTATTAACACACTATAAAGTTTTTTTCCAATGAAAACTATACACCCAACTGCTCCATTTGCAGTAACTTTAAAGCTAAGGAAATAACATCAAATCAAGTGGATCGGATATTCTTACGATGCAAAGGCCGTTTTTGTTTTCTTTTAAATGTGCACAGGCCAGCTCTTCGTTGTAGCATGCAAAAGACCTCAGTTCGATTCCCGTACGGGAAGAAATTTTTACTGAGAACCTCCATCTTTCTGCTGGGGCATTGTTCCCTCTCAGTCCAGGTTGGCCCTGACATTGGGTTGAACTAGGCCTAGCCTGTCTCCTTAATGTTCTGTATTATGTCATTGGGAGTGTAAAACATGTACAAAATAGGCTACATATATATGACGATACAAAAGCCAATCGCAATGACCCCTGGAGTTTTCCATTCTTAGGTAATCTAAGTCTACTTATTACTACCAGAAACCTAGGTCTCTGTTACTACAATACAACGCTTCCTCTCACTTCATCCACTCGCTCAGCTGATCAACAGCTGGAAGTTAAAAATAGCTTCGGCTCTCTACGCCTTGCACCAAAACAAGCACAGCCTCTCCCTTCCTCCACGGGTCAGAGTTCACACTGTAAGCGGTCTTGCTGCTCGTTTCTGCAGCAAGTGGCTTGCCAGGTTGCGAGCAAGTCATGGGAGCCAGGGGCGGTTTGTTAACTGGGCAAGACCGGTGGTGCTGGTCAGATTTTTTTCGGCTGGACTGTTGACAGGAGATTTATAGCTGATGATGATTTTCATTCAGTTTCAAGTAAATCCAAACAAACATGTATCAACATTCAAAAAGCGCCTTGCTAATTTGAAGGCGCTCAAATAGAGAAGTGAGATTCACTGCTGTTTATTTGTCGCGACAGAACCTCAATCCTTCACGTTTGCTATCACGCCGGCTCTTAACTTTAAATTGTCTCCCCTCCCATCAAGCCGTCACTTCGCGGAACTTCGTAGGCTACTACATACGAAGCCAAACACACGGCGGGCTTTGGCCTAGCGATGACGTCAGTCCCATGGACAAATCCATCGACAGCCCTGAGAAGGAATAAAGGCATCCCTTAAATTGCCAAATTGGCCTCTTTGTAGCTTACAAAATAATAATTAAGATTGAGACTGTCTTGAGCAGCACAGACACATGTATTATTTTATCAGCAAAACATGTATTTATCATTCAGCCTTTCTCTAATTACTATGAGAACATTTATTGTCAGCATGGCACTACTCTTTTTTGTTTATTGACCTTCTAACCACCTATAGTTCCTGTTTGACATTTACTCATCGTTTTCTCCCCTCTAATAACTTACCTGGCCCATAGGAGTCTGGCCGGCTGAAGGAGGAATTGTCTAGTGAAGATATATAAGGAGAATTTTAACGAGGAGCGATAGGCACTCGGCTGTCAGAGTCTGGGCCAGGCCTACCCCCTCCCTTCCCTCCCCTTTTCCACCGTCATCCCAGCTAGACACCAAGTTCTATAATTAGCATTTGACACACTTCCCCACTTTGTTACAACACAGTGTTCTGTTCTGAGAAGTGAGAAGTGCGTTGAAGAAAAAAATTTGATGATATAATGATCGGAAACTGTTGTGTGCTAACTTTGTCCAGCATTGTATACTATCTGATTGTAGACTTGATCTGCTTGGGACAGCGTCACTGGTACAGTATCAATTAACTTTTTGTCATCAGTTCTTATTACATATATTTAACAGGTCCAGTGCACGTCGATATTTTGTGTAGGGGTGTAGAAAGTACGAGTAAAGTACTGTACTGAAGGCCAGGACCTGCAGTTTATTGCCTCTCACTTTCAGTTTGTTTTCTGGCCTAGTAGTGTTTGTTTTTCTGTGCCAATCAAGTCAGTTTCTATTAATCTCAGTAACTTCCATCATATGTTATTCATAATATTGTTTCTTGACACTACCGCATATTTTAGCTCTTTCACAGTATATTACAATGTTTACAGTGGTGTATGTGAGTGGGGGAGGGGGTGGGGATGGCGAAAGTATGGGTATAAAATAAGGAGAGAAAGAGAGAGAGAGAAAATGTGTGTGTGTGTTGTGAAGGAAAGGAATAGTCGACGTGAATGACGGCCGGTCAGTTCTATAAACCACGAGCCGCTACTGATGGGAGCCAAAGCAAATCATGGGAGCCCAGAGATTTGCTGGGCTGCGAGCAAGTCATGGGACACAAAGCAAAACATGGGCTGCAAAGCAAGTCATGGGACTTGCTGTGCTGCGAGCGAGATTTGAGACTTGACGGCCATCCACTGCTCGCTAGCCTTTGATTAATTGAGCAGACTCCAGCTCTGTCGTGCAGTGACACTGAAAGCGGGGTCTCTCTCTCCCCCCCTCTCTCTTTGTTTGACATCTTCGCAGATTGCAAGCAGGGTGGGGAGGATTAGGGGGTCTGACACGAGTGGCTTCGCGGGTTGCTGGTTTGTGTGGACTTGAAGCTAGGCTAGACTCAACTTATCATCCTAGTGATTTGATTTGATGATTTGCCCTAGTGATTTGAGGCTTGAGACTTGAACTAGAGGCTTTGGAGCACGAGCAGGTTTGCTATCGGGGTACAGCTCTACTTAAAACGTTTGCTATCTTCAATTGATTAACATTTAACTTTAATGAACTTTCAAACAAATGCCAGACATTTGGAAGTGTGAAATGAAATCTGTCTCATGCAACGAACTGTTTTCTGTTTTGGCTCTTTACTAGGGAAACATGATTTTTCACCACATAGAGATTTCACAGTATAGAGGCCTACAGCTAGCCTGTCTTGAAGATGTCCCTTTGTATCACGTCAGCCTGGATCTGTAATTTCTTCTATGATTCTATGTCAGTTAACTTCCAATTCATGGTGCGATTCAGTTGTGTCCACATCATTTTCCCGTTAGTCTTTGTAATTTTGCATGCTTCTGTACTTCAAATTCAAATAGCAGAATGCCATTTCATGTCAGATGGATGGTATGGAAGTTCAAAAAGCAAATTTATAATCCTATCACATTAAAAGTACATGTAAAGGTTTCTTGGATTTTGAAGGAGTTCAGTAAGTCCGAATATGAGGATTAACTATTTTCTAGTAATTGGGGTTTTTTTTAGTCGTTCTCGTTAGGCTTTGTTGAGCTTTGTTTAAAATCGTGTTTTTAATTTGTCTATTTACAGGTTTGGCGTTTTTTCCAAGTAGCCAGAGACATGTGATTTACATGACTTTATGGATACATCTGCCATGGAGAGCTTTGGAAACCTTTGTCCGGTGTCTGTACTTGGCAAAGACAGTGAAGCTAGCAATAATGAGGATGATGATGATGAGGATAATCATTTCATCATATCATTGGAGGATAATGGAAGTGGGGATGACTACATTGATGAGTATGATGGAGAAGGGGCTCATACTGTGCTGTCTGCCCGCTCCCTGAAATCCCCAAGGGTTTCCACAGAACGAGGTAACGAAGAGCCGGCATCATGTGTCACAAGCTCCCAGGAAGCTGAACACAGTCAAAAGCAAGTCTTTCATCATACCTCAGAGTCTTCATTTCGGAGCATGTCAAATGTGTCTTCTTTGAAACCTCTTTGGTTTTCTTCACCTTCTCAAGCGCATCACCCATCTGTAGTTGCACCCGTTGAGAATCCTCAAGGGCCGCACCATATGAAATCCACGCAGCCTGTTTCAAGTAGCATGGTGATCACTGCTTCTTCTCATTACCAAGAGAGTTTTGCCAAGAAAGAGATTTACTACGGAGACCTACCTGTTGTAGTCAGAGACTTATCCTTTTGTCCCTCAGATCCCAAAGTCAGTCGTGTTAGTTCACAAGATATCAACCGGTCAGAGACTGAGCCTCTCACTTCGTTGGCTCAGACTCCGTATAGTCAGCCTGACACAAGTCAAGGGTCAACGTTCCCAACAGTGTCTGGGCTGGAGATGCAGAAGGGGTATGAAACAGTGCATTTAGGTGCAGAGGGTGGGGGAATCTGGTCTGAAGCTGTATTTGTGTCTTCAAACTACACTCCCTTCACTGTTTCTTCAAGTGCACAATCTATTGAAACTATGAGCAGAACTGATCCTGTTGCTGCCAGCTGTATCTCACAACCTTTACTGAGCTCTCAGACGACAACTAGTTCTGTGCCTTGTCACCCTCCTCCAGTGTTACACTTCCCTGCTCCAAAATTAGCTGGTCCATTTCCATGTAGAACAAAATGTGAGGAGCCTGACAGTTTTACCGAAACTATTCGGGAGATCAGAGTGGGTACAAAAGTGGTAGATGAGCAAGCATCTGAACAGCACTCGAATTGCCATCGTGATCAAGGCAATCAAATTCTGAACAGTCACTCTTCAGATCTCAGTGAGAAAGAATGTACCTGTATCATGTGTTTCAAAGGCCGTGGAATTGTGGACTGGTATCCTCCACCAAAGGAACCAACATTGTCATTAAGTGAGGAGGTGATGATCACAGGCAAGTCTTCCCAGAAGCATAGTAGAGGAGGACCTCAGTCTGCTGATAAAAGGAACACTAAGAAGTCTAAAGTAATAGAAGCGTCATCGAGAGGTGGTGTTTTAATCAACATAGCTCCTTCCAAATTCAATCCCATCAGTCACTCATTTTCGACAAGTACTTCCAGCTCTCCACAAACAGTTCTTTCCCCTTCACAGTCCGTCCATAATCCAGCATCTGCTGTTATGACATCACCTCCTGCATTATCAGGAACAGGACATTTATTGACGTCAAATGAGTCAACATCGATCCTCCAGCATGTGGGCTCCAAAGATCAAGTCAATCCAGGCAAAGTCATTTTCTCTGAGATTCAGGGCCAGATGTATGCTATTGTTCTTGCAGGGCAGGCAGTGGCACAAGGAAGACCAGTAGCGGTCAGCAGAACTGTTGTTCCAGTATCTAAGCCCAGGCCTCCCACTTCACATGTTTGTGCATCCTCTGCAAAGTCAGCTCCTGTTGTAGCTCACTCTGCTTCTGTTAGGCATACAGTTCCTCTTATTTCTAAACCTTCTCTTCTTATGTCTTCTCCTAATGCAGTAGTACAGAGTGTGAAGCCAAAAGTGTTCTTGAAGCCCTCTGTATCTTCCCCCTTACAAAGTCCTTCAGTAGGCAAAACTGTTAATTCATCATCTTCTTCATGTGCTCAAGTCAATAAGGAAGGCAAGCTAACTTATAGCTTGCTACCAAACTGGATTCCTCGGACTACCGAAAGCTGTGCAGTTCCTAATAGACCAGTGTGTACAACCAGCTCCTCACATATTCATGTTGTGGATCTGGACTGTGAAAGACAGTCTGGTTCCACAGTTTCAACACCACCTTCCTCCTCTCAACCTAGATTCTCCCCTGCACACACAAATAGCATATCGGTTACTCCTACCCAAGTATCTCATAAAGAGAATAAAGAACAGTCACAGAGGGCGTGCAGCCCAAATTCTCTTTTCAAAATTTTGAAAAATGCTGAGCAATTAGACATGAGTGTGCCTGGAAAAGTAATTATTAAAGTAAAGCCTCCTCCTTCTCAGTCTGCATCTGCATCATCTGCAAACTTGACTGAGACTTCCAACACTGTCATAGTGACTCAACCTATTGGTCCACTGACTAGCCATCCAAAACCTAAGAATGTTGTGTCTCTGTTAAACGGTTGGAATACAACTCCTCATTCAATTAGGATGAAAGCCCAGAGTGAGAATTCTGTCTTGCCTCAGACAGACCCAACTCCTTACAGGCTACCATTAGTACCATCATCAGGCCAACTTTCTGGTTCTCTTTTCCAGCCAAGAACTGGGAATCTTGATACTAGACATACTTTAGTGCAACTTATCAACTCGCACTTAGGGAAACAACAAATTCAAATTGTAGATAGCTCACCTGTTGAGAAGGACAGTGCAGTTATGAGTACAGCAAATGTGATTACAGATGCCAACGAGGCTCGAAAGAGTCAACCCAACAGCCACATTCTTCATAACATCAGTTCTCCCTTTTCAGTCAGCAGAAACCCTGTTCTGGACAACAAAGAAATGACTACAAGCATTAGAGCAGTTCAAAGGACTGAAGCGATTGCTGATCATGTGACCACTGAGTCTTTTGAAGTTGACATTGGGTCAAATTCTGCTCTCTTACCACAAGATGGTTTGCCTAGCAATTATATTGAGAAGTGGGTACAACAATCAAAAACGTTCACACCCATGGTGTCAAAAGTTGTGAGTGAAAATGATAACCATAACGTTAAAAGAAATAACTCTGAATCCAAGACATCTGAATCAGAAACAGATAAACATGCGCTGGTGCACATAAAATCAGGGGAACATGTTACCCTCTCCCCTTCCTTGTCAGAAGAAAAACTGACTTTAGTGTTACCACGCCCTAAGCCTAAAGGGGCTGGCAGCTCACATCAGCATTCCAAGATAATGTCTGATGCTCCCGTGTCATGCTCTGACACTGAGACAGGACAGTCGGACACAGCCTCTAGTGTCCCTTGCTCACCTACGCAGAGCTTGGCCAAGCAAACAGGACCGACGTTGACACTTCATTTTGAGAAACCTCTACAACATATTTCATTTGAAGGGGCTCAAGAAAAGAGACATTCTTTGCCTGTGTTGTCTGAGACGGAACAGAAGTCACCGAATTCACGTTCAGTGATGGAGACCGAAGAGTTTGGTCAGGGGGAGGTATCTATGGACCAAGTTTGCGCGTCTTCAACTGGGCAAAATTCGGTTCAGCTGGACTCTCAAAAGAAGGCGGCTTCAAAGCGTCCGGGCACCCCTTCCTCCACTGTTGTTGCTGGTTCTCAGGGTATTAAACTTAAAATAAAACTGGGAGACCAATCCGAAAAAGTGAAACAAAAGTCCAGGCGAAAAACACCACATGTAATACCACAACCCGAAAAGGATCGTAGCAATGAGATTGAGTGGTCTATTTCAGAACCTGCAAACAGAGACAGCCTTTCTGTTGAGACAAGAACAACAGAAGTTCCTGAAGCAACCTCTTTAGTGAAAGTTGGAAATGAGACTGCAGAAGAAATGTTTCAGAGATTTGAAGAACAAGCCATGCGGGAAGTCTACAAAGCCCAGTTAGGTGTTGGAGATTTAAGTAGGAGTCTTCGGCCATGTAGAGGAACCATATCATTAGTGGACAAGTATCTCCCTGATAAAGAGTTCACCAATTCAAAGAAAATGAAGACTCCCAGTGTAAAACAAGACCATGTTCTTGTGAAAGAGAGTCCAGTCGCTGGGCCTGTAGCAGAGAAGAGTCTTTCAGACTTTCCCAGACAGTCAAAGAAGAAAGAGAAAAGAGTGAGAGACAGAAAAAAGAAAATAATGACCAGCATGAATGTAGACAATCTTGTGAAGTCTGCAAATCTGGCTATCAAAGATTATCCTAAATTGAAGCAAGACGACAGTATTACACATGGAAAAGATATTTATTGTCCCAACATCCTGGCTGGACATAAAGTTCATGTAAAGTTTAATATTTTTGAAAGTGAAGGTTCAGGAAGGGCATTCCTTATTCCATTCTTTAATATTGGAGGCACACGTACTCAGTTTGATGTTGAAGATGTCGAGTACATTAAGAAAGCTGTGATAGATTTTGAAAAGGAGGAGCGTTCCTGTGCGAGGCACTTGCTCTATTTTACGAGAGAAAACAAGAAAGCTATGTTTTTGCGCAAAGAAGCCCCTTTTCAAACGAAAGAACTCACAGAAAAGAACTACAAGAAACATTGTCATAACATCGTAGGTTATTCAAGAGAGGCACAAAAACGGACAGAAGCTGCTCCAAGTCAGTGGAAAATAGATAAAAAAGTGGACATTGAAATTGACTGTGCAGAAGTGGAGAATGACGATGAGGCTGAGTTTGATGCAGTTATGGGAGAGAGATCAGAGAAACTGGTAATGACAAGTAAGTCACAGGATGACAAGATCTGTGTAGAAGGTGTTGATGAAACTCCATTTTCTGTAGGACTGGTCACTGGAGGCCAAGAGCCTGTTTTGAGTTCCGGGGTTAGAGCAGATCAACTGGACGCTGAGTCAAGTGCCTTTGTTTCGCTGGGCCTCCTAACTTCAGAGTTTGGGAGCAGTATGCAGGCTCGTAGACACCAACTGAAGATTCCTCAAAGGGCCTCTCGTGCAGGGTCTACTGCGCTGGATAATTTTGAAAATAGCTTCAAAATCCACTCTTCTATGGTCAAGGAATCCAACTGTCCAGCCGAGAGGGAAGTGCTAAATAATTGCAATGACATTAGTGATTCCGCGTACACTGAAAAACTGAAGGAGCTTCTTTTGTCTGAGAACATTCATGATTCTGTAGTGGGAGAAGGGTCCGTGACCAGCTCTCCCAAAAGGCCTCTTGAGCTCAATGTTCCTCATGAAACACAGGCTGGACATTGTGAGTATGATCTTGCTAATAATGAAGAACAGAGGTCTTTCATGTCCCATCAAATGGGTGGTTTGCCAAAGGTGAAACTAGAACCTCCTGATGATGATGAGTGCAGTATGCATGGAGTTGAAGAGAATGAATGGACTGACTCTTTGCCTGCACAGGCAACCCAGCAGCTTTGTAATACAGATGCTACTTCAACTGCTCCCGATCCTATAGCTTCTGTGAGAGTAAAGGAGGAACCTGTGGATGACTATTTTGATCATGTTCAGATGGACAAGTCTCAGTTGTCTACTGAAAGACTTAATTCAGCCGTTCAGCACAGTTCAGTGGAAGCTGTGAATAGTGTGCCTACTGAGGGAAGAGAAAGTGAGAGAGATATCCAAAATGGTTCTGCATTTGTTTGTGTGGGTGAGGACAATAATGGACAGGAGGTAGAACAAGCCTCTCTATGCGGGGATGCAATAAAGAATCTTAATGGTGACGGTCAACTGAAAATATCAGTTGTGGAACATTCTGGGAAAAGCGCAGAGTCTGAACAAAATAAAATGGAAGTTACTGGACCGGTAGCATCTTTCATGGAAGGTGAGCAGGAACCAGCAGAAGAGATGGGAGATAAAGCATCAGAGAGGTCAGAATCACCTCTCATGTCCCCGCCCTCAGATCTTCCTGAGTCCCTTGACTCCTTGGTGTCAAGCGAAGACAGTGACTCTGATGCTCTGGATGGAGACACAGAACAGACGACTTCTGAGACCTCATTACAAACACCCAGTGTGGAGTCTTCGGGTTTAATAAGTGGCACTGATAAAGGGAATGCGAAAATATCCTCCCTGGTGGATTCGTTAAGGCAGCGTCTCACCCAGGAAACCCCTGCTCTTCCCTCTTGGCTAGCTCTCGCTCCTCCAGTGGAAGCAAAGCTGAGAAAAAAGAAAAGGAGGAAGAGAAAGGTTGAAAATGAAAATATAAAGGCTGTAGTGGATACAGAGGTGTTGTTCACTTCTTCCTGCTCCTATATAGAGACTTCCGCAGCCGTTCAGTCCACCTCAGCAGTGTCTGTGATAGACTCTGCCCTTCTGTCGAGTTCTGATATAAGTGTTAACTCCTCCACAGCATCAAGTGTTCAACTCTCTACAGCTTTACCCATAGTGGCCAGCACCACAGAACCTATTGTTTCTTTGACTGTGCCATTTTCTTTTTCAAATGTGTCTACGCCATCTTTGACTTCATCAGTGTCTCAAGTTGTTTTATCATCTTCAGTCAGCTTGTCATCAATTTCATCACCTACTGTAAGCTTAGCCAACAGCCTGATGACTGTGGAACCAACACATTCTAATATGGGTCCCAAATTGTCTGGAGCCTCTAAATCTAAGGATAGCATTCCAAGTAAATCATCTGTACTTGAACTTTCCAAGCAATCATTGATGATCTCTGTGCCTGAGACTGGAAAATTATCCTCTGCAGAAATCACTGAAACTGCTTTTGTCAAACCCCACATAGCATTAAATGAAATCTCTGGAAATGACAGTGAAGCCATTTGGTTTGGTAGAGGTGATGGAGTGCCTGTGCAGTCAAAAATAAACTTGAAAGTGACTGGTGTGGACCAGATTGGTGTTGAACATGACTGTGGAAATAGTCTGGCAGCGGTGGATCAACTGGGAAAGGTGGAAGTTGGCAGCACACAGGTAAATTCTGATAAAGATAAGTCTCGCACTGGTTTTCTTATCAGCTCTGCTCCCACATGTTCATCTCTGGGAAAGACTTTAGAGCACACACCTTTGCATGAGTCTGGTGTTTCTGTGCCAAAGCTAGCCAAAGATATTGTGGCTGAAAATTTACCAACCAAGCTATCTATGAGACCACCAAGTCCTACCAGTGATATAGAGATTGACATTGGGGTGGATGAATCTCCAGAAACCCTTCTGACTTTCGTCCCCATCTCCCCAGCTATTAAAGCTGTTCACAAACATAGATTTAACCCAACGGCCCACAGGCTGGCTGATACTAGAGCCTTAGGAAAGTATATCTCTCCTCATAAGAGGAAGAAAACTTCTTTGAAGAACAGGAACAAGATAAGCCTACCTACACTTGTACCGACGGCTGTAAGTGATCTTGTTACAGATTACAATGGAGAGAAAAGTTCTGTTGGGTCTGTTGCAGATTATCTGAGTCAAAAGTTTGCTCAGACGGCTGGCTCTGGAAATGGCAAAATCAGAGTTCCTAGGCTTATCCATCGCAGAGCAAAGGTCAACACCAATGTTACCACTTCTTCTGGATCAGCATCTTTGGTACCTTCTGCTAGTCTCTCAGTCCGTCCATTAGAATTGAAAGATTCGTCAGAGAGCGTCACTTCTGCACTGCCAAGTACAAAACAGCCCAGCCTCAGTGAGATATTTGGTGTGAAGGTCAGCACTGTTGAGAGCAGTACGACAGACTCTGGAGCATCAGCTGTGAAATCTCAAGATGAAATACCAGAAGCCAGAAATCTGGGAAAAAAGGTTTGTCATAAAAATCAAGATGGTTATAAAGAGTCGGGGACTGTCCCTGAGGAGGGAGAAGAAAATGACTCTGGCACAATGGATACGGAAGATGTTGGTTATATGGATGAGCCTCTGCTTGATAGTCATGTGCGTGTTTCTGATACGGTGTCACAAGATAAACAAAGAAAGAAAGAACCAGTGGATGAAAATACTAACATCGTATCTGTGGAAGAATACGCCCCAGTAGATGATAATGTGAAAATTGAAAAGGGGAAAGAGTCTAAACTTGCTGCTGAAAAGGTGCAAGAAGAGAAACCAGTGGGCCAACAGCTTAGGATTACAAGAGGAAATGTGAGCAGGAAGAGAAAAGCTCCCCCATCCAAGGAGCTCTTAAAAGCTAAAAGACTTACCTGGCGTCAGATGTCCAAGCAGGTCAGCAAAATGAAACAGAATGCGTCAGACTTGATGGATCAAAACTCTGAACCCAACGCCAGTAAGTTGCCTCAAGATACTACTGGAAAGAATGAAAATGTGTCCAATCTTGCAGGCTCTATGAACCCATGTCGAGTCTTTCTGCACAGGCTTGAAGATTTAAACCTTGGTTTCTCTGGAAAGTTTGAGGAAGGAGTGGTAGTAAAGTTGAAGAGTTCAGTTGAGATCAGTCGAGAAGACTCAGTTGAGGAGTCTAAGTCGGGTAAGAAATGTGGGAAACGAAAAAAGAGAAAAGCACTCAAAGTTTCCAAAGCAAGAAGTACCCGCAAACCCCAAAGAGATATTGTAGATATTTATGCTTCTATGATAGAATCATTACAAAAGAAGGCCCAGCAATTAGAAGAGGAATCTAAAAGAAAACAAACTGAAGGAGAGATCAAGCAGAAGGGAGACGGGCCTTTGAAAAATTACCAAGTAAATAACAACCAAAACGTTGGTGAAAGCATGGAAACGGAATGTATTCCTTCATCTTCAGTCGCTGAACAAACTGAGTGTGGTGCTCTAGATGATGGGTTGGGTGTTACTGCTCTTGAAAATGTAGATGCACATTGTATTGCTACTCCTGTAGAGGAATTAAATTTTGGTTCTAATGAGAATGTGGAGGGTGGAAAACATGTTGCACATGAAGACCCTTCCATGACATCCATGTCTGAGGCATTAGACGCTGAGGGTAGCAAGGAGCCTGTCTGTTCTCAAAAGACTGTGACTAGTGCTCCTTTGGAGCTGGATGAACAAAATGTCTGCCTCATGAACAGAGGGAGCCAACCAGCTACTGCTCAAGTGGAAGAAAAAAGCAAGTGCACTTCATTGGAGGTTTCAGCTGGTCAAACAACTCGTAACACATTACAGGGTAAAGATAATGGTGAGACAGAACCTCAGGCTGTAGTAGAGTCAATAGAGCTGTTTGATGGGCATGTAACTGGAACCTCTGATGTTCCTTTAGAAAAAGCTATCGCTAGAGAAAGTGATGGGCCTGCTTCCAACAACAGTGTGGGTTCAAAAGATGTTCTTTTATGCAGCACTGTTGAGGACAGTTTATTCAATTCAGCAATTAGCAAAAAATGTCTCGAGTCAACAGATGAAATGTTGATGGATCAGGAACTGCAGGGTGAAGATGTGGGTGTCATACCTCAGGAAGAGGTGGAAGAACTTCTTGGTTTGGACACTGATGAAAATCCAAAGTATCCTGGAAGTGATAATGATTCATTTGGATCTGATAATCTTATGCCCAGCGAAGACTTTGGGACAGCTGAGCTTGCCAATGAGGGACAGCTCATTCTGAGTGATCTTAAAGAAGTTGATATACTTCAAGCTTCTGGTGTTCTTACATCCGGCGACCTAGGGTTTTCTCCAGCATCATCACCTAGTCACTCTCTTGTCATTGCTTTTGATGAGGAGGATGTGGAGGAGGATATGGATAAACCTGGTGTCAGTGATATGCGAGGGCCAGTAACGTCTGTTGTGGATGATCTGGTTACAGAATCTGAGGGCAATCTCAAAGGGCCAAGAAGAACAAGAAATGTCTCTATGAGAAGTACAGAGGAGCTGACCAATGAAGATACCATTGCTATTTCTGATGAACAAGATATGGTTTTGAATGGTGGGAAGCAAAATGAAACAGAGAAAAGCAATGTGTTGCTGACAGACAGTGCTGAACCAAGCTCTAATACCCAGCCACTGCCAGCAAGCTGTCAAACACAAGTGTGCGACTCGCACAATAAAAAGAATATTCATGTATCCCCTAGTTGGAAAAGATTGCTGGGCTCTTCTGCTTTAGCTGAGTTGGAGAAGCAGTCGCAAACTAAGGGGGAGATGCAGCAAGAGAAAGATGAGAGCTCAGATCTGAGATTCAAGCTAAAGCTTCCTGTTGTGTCTTTGAACCGTGCTGTTCGCATGTCCAAGGAAATGGAACGAGTGTTTGGTGAGACTGACCAAGAAGGATCTTCTCAGGAAAATGGTGAAATACAACATGTTTCCGAGTCTTCTACCACTGAGTCAGATAATGACAACGAATGTCTTGGTGATGGAAAGCCAAAATCTAGCCAGGGATACTCAATGGAAAGACAAGCTGTTGAAAAGGGAGCTCGCCCCAAGAACTTGTCAATGAGCGAGAAAACTATCGCAGCTATTCAGAAAGCCAAAATCCAGTTCATGAAGGGTGCTGCACTAGCTAAAATGGCACCTACAAATAAGCAGACAACACAGAAGTCAGTGTCAAAGGAAAGTGATGCTCAATTCAAAAGAGACTTGGATTTCTACCTCACTAAAGCTGGAACAAACAAAGAAGATTCTGAAGATGATTCTCATAGTGTATTCGATAAAGAAACTGAGGGTGAACTTAACTGTAGCAAAGAGGCTGGTACCACAACTGACAATTTCACCCCAAGGACGAGAACAAAAAGGAAAAATCAACTAAATATTGGGAACAGTGACATAGGGATTGATCAAACATCAGCGTCTGTGTTTCCCCAAGAAAAACACTCATTTGATAAAAGATCTACTCAAAACAATTCGGATTCTAGTGTTTTGACAAAAATGCAGAGTATATTTTCTAGTTTAGAAATAGAAATCCCTCTTGAGGCTAAGAGTAGGGGGAAGTCTTCTTCTGAAACCCAGCGCCAAGATAAAGTGGTCATCAAGGATCAGAATCTTGAGCAGTCGCTCATTTCCAAGCCAAAAGCTATAGATCTATCCAAGTTGAAAATGAAGCTTAATCCTTTGCTCTTAGGGAAGCTGAATAATAAAGCTGTGCCGCTCAGTAGGACTGCGGAAGTGTCAAAAGGGCCGTGCTCAGATATGCCCTCTAACAGCACTATACAGTCTGATAACAAGACTAAAGGTATAAGGACATCTGTTGAGAACCGTATACAGCTCAGTGTTGATTCTACAGAAAGTGCAACATCTTCAAGGAGCGGTGCACAATTAGATATTGACCCTTCAGAACGTATATCATCAGTTAAGACTGGTGTGCAGTATGATTCCAGTTCTTCCAGCACCCATCAGACTGGAGCCACCAGTCGTGAAAATGAGTCTGTAAAAAATTTACCTGTGTTGAACACTGCAAAGTTATGCAACATCCTAAAAAGTTTTAAAACAGCTTCTTTTGGAAAAGGCAAAGGTCTAGAAAATCAACAAGAATCCAGCAATGATTTGAAGAGAAAAGCGCCACTTAAGACAAAATCCCCTTCTAAACTCATGAAACGGCTATCATCTACTCTAAAGGTGTCTGGTACTGAAGTCCTGAACTCACGATCAAGAAAGAGGACTCGGAACAGTAGATCAATGTGTTCTCAAAACCCATCAGAGGCTTCACGAGTCAATTCACAGATGCCAGTACCTTCTTCTAGCTCAGTGAAAGTACCTGTGGAGGAGGTGAAGAAAGATGGAGAAGAGAAAGGAGAAAGATCATTTTTTGACTGCTTAACTAACATTACCACTGATGCATGGAAGGAGTAAATTATAAGGAGTTGTAAGAAGCAGATAATAAAAGATTGCAATAGATTTATAAAGGGCATCCATTTGAAAGTGGGCTCTGTGCACTTTATTAGTATAGATCTAGGTCGGTGAAAGATTGAGAGATCAACAATACCTTGTTTGCTCGTAAAACATAAAAGTATTAACATGTATTTTGTTTTTAATGTTGTGAAGCATATTGTGCGCTGTACTGTACATGATGAACATTCATGAATCCTTTTCAAGATGTCAATGGGGGGAGGGGGGGGTTACGGCAGGCTACTGCTGCCTCCAATGGATTTTGTCCATGTTTTTGTGTGTAGTCTTGGCTTTAATTACATCAATTGTTTGTTTTTCTCTTGTTTTCCCATAGTAGTGATCTAGGATTCTTTTTTTTTTTTTTTTTTTTTTTCCAACGGGCACTGTAGAGTTTGTCACAAATGACAGGCAGTTGCAGTAGAGTAACAATTTTGTTTGACTTCACAGAAACGTTTTGTAAAATATTTCTTCTACAATCTATTCTAAAGTTGCCTTTTCACAATTTTTTAATTAGATCTGTTTCATGTGACCAAGAAATGTCATTGCATTTTTTTTGTTTAAAGTGAATAGACTTTTCTGTTTGAATAGTTTGTCAAGAGAATGTTTGATGACAGTAATGTTATATTAATTTAACTTAAAGCCCTGACAAATTAGGGTTTTGTTTTTGTTTTTTATGACTCTTTAATAAGTTAAAAAGATCCTAACAAATTGGATATGGGGAGGGGGTGGGGCATTTTATTGTGAATTTCTTTCTCTGCTGCCTCATTAAATATATATATATCTGTTTTTAATTTTGCTTGCCCAGCCAAGTGAATTTTAGTTGTGAGAAATATTGGTATTTATGAAAACCAGTTGGTTCTCAATGATTTTCAAATTATATGAAGATTAAAGTTATTGCGAGGCAAAAATCTTTGACACCAGTTTCTTCTCTCAGGACACTAAAAGTAAGGCTCTTCATTTTATTATCTTGTCACCTTTGGTTAGCAGCTGGTAGGTTCTCTTTCTTATCTCCATTAGTCTAGTGAGTACCATGTGAGTACCTAGTGAGTACCATGCTGGGCTTTGGTACACATATATTATATAAATCTGGTTCAGTTTCCTTATAGTCCGTTCTTATGTATTTTGTTTGCTAGGGCAGTTTTGAAGGCTCTTTTATTTCTAGGCTCAGTCCTTTCAAACTTGGATGTTTCTTTTGGGGCCCCACCTTTCCAATAACCTCACCTGTCCATAGTGTTTAAAGGGAATTGAACCCATACAATTACTATAGATTACTGTCAGGCACAGATAACGTGGACACAAACAAATCCTAAATCGCGAATAGTTTGTACAGATTGCCTTTCCCCGACTGATCCTGTTTAGTTTTTCGTTACTGATTAACCAGAATTATGGATTTGTCGAACACATTTGTCAACCCCAGGCGCGTTTTGAGTTATCCATGCCCGACTGTGCTTATTAATTGAAAGTGTAAGAATATTGACGAAAAAACACATTCCATGTGGCATGCAAGCAGTGGTGTCCTCCTCAATCCACCTCTCACTTCACTTAGTTGTTGGTAAAACAAGGTGTAAATTTTATAATACACGTTTGTAATGTTTTATACAATTCCCATTTGTACTTTCAGCTAATGATCTTCACGTACATATATATATATACAATCAGTGAGAGTGAGAGATTTTAACCTCTTGCTCTGCCAGAACTGCTATAGTTTTATCAAAGAGCTCTTACTAGTCAGTCTCAGGGAAAGGGTTAAAGCTGTTATTATAAAGACTGACTTGGTTTTTTATTGCCTATCCACTCTACTCTAATTTTTTTCTTTCACATTCTCTTTCATTTTTCTGTTAGTTCGCAAAATGCCCAGCAGATTACATTATGATCTTTTAATTAATACTTTTGGCTTACACCGACTGAGAGCTTTTGAATAAGATCTTGATCCATACACACATTTTAAGCATTGCTATAAAAAATTTTGTTGCCTTTTTTTTATATTTTTCGTGTAGTTGAGTAGTTGTTGTAGCCTAGACCTAATAATTTAGCCCATTATAACGGTCCGTGTGAATGTGAAAGAGAAAAATCCTGGTGCTTTTCAACTATAAATAACTTAGGATAATATTTTTTGCGTTTGCTAGAAGCTTGCATTGTACAGTGTATAAAATTATATTTGGAAATGAGCAAGTTTTTAGTTTGATGTAATTTGATGTACATAAAAGTCTGCTACTGTAAATTGCTGATCACACTCTTTTTTTATGTATGAAAATGATATGGATGGAGAGAAAGAACCGAGAGGGACAAGTTTCTGTTATTCTGCTTGTTCCTGTGGTAATCATGTAGGCCTACATGTTGTAGTTGTACTTGATGAACTTGGATGTCTTTCGTAATGTCTCATGTTGTTGACACTCTTTACATAATGGCCACAGCATTGACTTGATTGATTCAGATTAAAATTCAGTTTGTATTATAATAAAGTTTGGTTGTGTTTTTCCTTCGCGAAGATTGGTTTCTTGGCTCATGCGAAATACAGCCTTCGGGAAGTGCAGTATCAAAAGCACTATCAATGGTACGTCACCCTTGATTGGTTAGTCAAAAACACACATCATGTAGGCTATCATGTATAGATGTTTGTTTGTTGATGCTGTTGCCAATGTTGTTGATATATTATATTGAACAATGTTGTCTTTCCTAATCCTTACTATCGTCATTTTCCTCTACTTCTTTTGTATGTTTGTCACACTTTTGTGACCCGCTATTTCCGGGGTGCCTTGATAGTTGATGCAGACTTTGTGCTGATGAAGCTAGAGAGGTGAGCAGAGTAAGTCTGATTCCCTGTAACGTAAGGACTTCTCCGTTGACATCCACCCCTTGGCGCTCTTATGACCTTATGCAGTTGCGAGCGCCGTAAAACCTCTACTAAAACTTTAAAAAAGCAACAACAACTAAACAATGTACTGTTATTGTGACTGTATGACACTGTAATTATAAGGTGCTTCCTTGCTTTGTCAAATTTTTATGTTTTTCAGAGTACCTACCGTTAGCCTACATGTAATTATTTTTTCCTTTGTTCATGGACTTTGTTAATGTTAAGCTTTACGCTCCACTTCTTGCAGAAGTTCCTAAGAAGAATCAGCATCCCAGTGGAATAGGAGAATTATAGTAGTTGCTGTGAGGGAATAAAGTAAGATCTTAAGAGAGGAACTCTTATTTTTTCTAAAAAGATTCCCTGTTTGAACTTTTCTGTTGACTTCCACCCCTTGGCGCTCATATGACTTTTATATATGGGTGACCTTATTTAGGCCACATATGGCCTAAATAAGCTAAACCCCCCTCCCTTACCTTATTTGGGCCACAGG